CACTTGGAGGGGACCAAGAGCATTTACTCCAAATCGCTTGTTAATGAGATTCATCATCCAGCATCTCACAGTTCAGGAGTATTTACTGAACCTTTACACAGACTGTAGATGTTTTTCAAAGAAGTGTTGAAAACACCAAGAACTGGTATAAATGAGAGTCTGAACAGTTTGGACATGGCTAAAATAGAGATAGCTTGATGATTGGTTAAAAACATCTCCATGACAACAGGTCTTGCAGCATGGTCCTAAGCAAATAGTCCTTCCAATGAAAAATTTGACAATTTAATTGTGTGGCAAAGTTTGAAATGTTTATCAGACCTCTGAAGATCTATAGTTACATAATTGACTCACTACTTTGATAATTAGACAGGGCATAAAGTGTATCAGAGCTTTATTTGTGAAGGATTCAGTTGTTACAGAATGATCATATGGTGACCCATAAACACTGATCAGGTGAACATTACCATGGATTAATATGTGGAACAGAAAAATTATGTATTCAATCTTGAAAAAGTTGATAGTATTTCAAATGTGTATCCACCTGACATATCAAACAGAATATACTCAATTCATGATAATTAGTCTGTGATCAAAGGACAGAGAAATAATTATGTCATTCCACATAAATACATCTGTTTTATTTAACTAAAATGTACCTTTTTTGTGGACACTCGATAAAGTGAGTACACAGATAATTGAATGCAGTACAACAGAACCTCAAAGGTCAGCTAAAAGCCATGTAGATATCCTTTCTGACCACATGATGGGGTCAAACCCCTGTTTTGTTCCAATGTAAGTTTGGAATCACTTTGAGAAACCCTTGACATCTCTATTTTCATGAATGTCCATCGAGTTGTGCTTTCAGACTCATGCACCACTAGCAGCAATGCAATAATCCCCAGATATAAAATCTTTCCACCCTTAAAAAAAACTATCATATTGTCTGCATCTGGATGCTCATCCTCCTGCTGCTACATCACAGTGAAGCTGTGATCTATGGTTGCAGAAATATTTATATCATTCCACTTAATAGAAACGTTTTATTTCACCAAAATGTACTCTTTTTGTGGACATTTGAAACAGGGAGTAAACTGAATATCGTATGCAGTACAACAGAGCCTTGAATTAATTAATTCTATCCGTTGTTTCCGGACCATCTTTTCTTTACTTTCCATTGAAGAGGACATACTATTTTTGTAAGTAATGAAGATAAACAAAAAACTGAACAAAGGGTGTGAGAATCATCAGTCACAAACTATTGTGGTCAAAATGTTTAAAGGCGATTATTCCGCACACACACACACACGCACACACACACACAAACCCACAATTACAAGGAAACTAAGTTCCCCTTAATGCACTTTTTATATTTAGACAATAAAGATAACATATATATCTGTTCAAGTATTGCTTTGCTTATCTGCCGTTTTCACACAAACTGCAGATGAATACATCGGATGTGTTTTCTGCACAAATACACTCCTCTCTTCACCTATTTCGACATGTTAAATGCAATACTTGGTGGTTCACATGCCTAAATACCAGCTATACTGTGTACCGTACATGCCCAATTATTATGAGAAAGTGTTATCTGCTAGCAACTGTTGCAAACTGACAGCTGCTTGTGTATACGTCATCATTCTTCGCCCTACATAAAAGTGGATTGTATTTTTATAATCTGCTATTTCTGTAGCATGTTTTCTACTTGTGCGTGGTACTATATTTGATGCAGTAAACCACAAATGGAGAAAATGCTTCGAGAACATCTATCAAGGGTTATTTTGGTTGGAATGGTTGAAAGTGATACTTCCTCTTATTCCCCTGCCGTGCAAACACCCAGAGAAAGACACTAACAGACATAAACTCAAACTAAGTTCCTGTTAACTTATGAGATTGAACTGTTAACTGGCAATATAATCCTCTAACGTTTTTATTTTTTATAGTTCCTTGGTCTTAATCACTATAATCAAAACACAATTAAAGCGTTTTGCCACACCACAGAATTCAGTTTAAATTTAAATAAATAAATATGTAGCCATTTTTTTACATGACTGGACTTCAATACATCTCAAAATAATACATAAGAGATTAATAAAGTTCAAGAGACATTGCACGTTGACTGTCTCCCTCTCAGAACATATTTACATCTTTACCTAATGTTCATGCTTTCAAATTCTTTATCCAACTACTGACAAATACCAGCATGTTTCTAACTTCTTTCTATTTGTCTTCGTTGTGTCTCCTTTAATATTCAGTGGGCTGCAAAATTAACTTAACTATCCCATGATTACATAACTGGTTATTTAAAAAAACTATTTGTGCAAACCACTGGCATTTGTAACATCAATGAATTCCCCTCAGCAGCATAAAGCAGAATGATTTTCTTCATCGTAACCTCAGAAAGGTTTTGACAGTTTAACAGTAAATACTGACACTCTATGATGGCTCTGTCTTTTTTTATTTATGTATTAATGGCTGAATACATTGAGGTATTTAAAGTCATTGAAATACAGAGGAGAGTGGCTGGGTTTCTTTTCTAGTGAAGTGCTTCCTCATCCTCACATCACATTTAAAGAACTGAAAAAACCAGCCTACTGCAATAGAAAATTGGCCCTCGTGTCAGTACGACACACAGAAGATCTCCATTTAAAGGTGAGTTACACCAACATAATCTAAATTGTATTTTTTTTATCTAACTTGATTTATATTATGCAGGTGATGAACTGATATCACAGTCAAAACCTTTTTCCAGTATGATGTAAAACTCATTACATACCATAAACTTTAGAGATAAAACATATTAATCGATAGGAGAGAGTGACCCTTAAAAAATCACTAGATTGCTGATTGACTACAGGAAAATGATTTTACTCCTAATCTCATCATTATTACAACTTTTGTGTCAAAAGTTCTTACCACAGATAAAGTTTGAATCAAATGTGTTACTTTGACACGACCAAATTAAAAATGGTTCTTTCCATCTTTATTTAACATGGAAAGAATTCAATCTAATCTAATCTAGGTTCAACCAAAACAAACAAAAGTTTAAAAAAAGGAAAAAAGAACATGTTTACTGTCGTGTAATATTTACCTAGCTCCAGTTTTGTAGATTTTTGCATTCAAATTTCAAACAATTCAACATATTTGTAAGGGGAATTTATTTTTCTAATAATTCATTGCAATTATAAAAGTTGTTCAACCTCTTTCTATCTTGAATAAATATACGCTGTTAAGATCATCTCGAACACACAGAGTATAAGATAACCAGTTTTCCAACATGCATATGAAAAGTACGTTTGAATTTGTGTAAAGTCTCTTTATTTTGTAAATAAATTATTCTTTTGTATAATTTTTTATCTTTCTGTTGGGTTTCAAAAATGGGGTTTCCGGAGCCTAAATAATACAAAACACTTAATTTGTTATAATCTTGCCTCAAAACCATGTAGGTTCTATTTTTATGTTTTACATTTGTGTCACAACTTCAGTCCGGCTTCAGTTTTTTCTTTCTTCGTTTTTTTATCAGTGAAACCAAATAAGAGACAAACACAGGCTCAGTTCATGTGGTGAAATGACAGGAAATGCAATACCAATACTTTGCAGAGCATCAGCAGAGATGGAAGACTTGTACTTGTGTGGACTGGATAATATTTCATATTTGCTTAACAGTCATGCTGGCTAACTTTGCTTTGCCATTTGTCCTCCTCAAATAAAGGTACCACAAACTGAAGACCTTATTTCTCCTCCTAAAGCTGATTAATTGGAATTTGAATGAATTGAGAACAAGTCAGTGAATTCTGAAAGAAACATTAGCCCTTTCAAATACATAGTCAACGAATTCAAAGTGTCATTTCTCTTGGACATACTCTTAAACGTCAAATACACAAAAACCTAGACTGATAAAATCCATGTAAAAAATAAATCAATTTTTTTTAACTGACATAAAGACATAAAAAAAAATCAGTATTTTGTTCACCGTTTTCAGATTAATAGCACAGTAAAAAATATCAAATTTAGAATACAAGATATTAGAATAAAACATGTTCAGTGAGTTAGATTATAAAGAGACATTAAAAAAATGCTTATTCAGGATCGTTTAGCTAAATTTAATCTGCCATCACCGAAGGCTGCACAGGGCGTGATGGTTAGCGTCGTCGACTCACAGTGAGAGACTTCCTCCCAGAGTCCAAAAAATGTATGAAATTAATTTTAGTGTGTAGTTGTTTGTATCTGTGTGACCTGTGATGAAGTAGTGACCTTTACCCGGGATAGCGGGTATGAAATATGTATGGATGAATGGTAATATTATCACCGCTACAACATGTGAGCTTTTTGAAACTGTATGTACTATCTACAAGCTTTTTTCAGAAAATGTTCCAGATCAGATTAATGTGAAGGGTCAGAAAACAGGATGACATCACTACATCAAAGTGAGGGCTAACTCACTTCTATCCTAATTCCTGAAATGATTTAAATAATCCTGTAAATACACCCCAATATGTTTTTATAATGAATATGTAGCACATAAATTGAAGGAGAAAAAGAAAATGTGTATTTCAGCTCAAGAGTTAGAAATTGTTATTGTTTTCCCATTCAACTTCCTTTGGTAAAACCTTTATTTTATCTTTACAGACAATGACTTTGATCAGCCTGCTCATCACAGTTTGTGTCGCAATCGATCTGGTTAAAGGTACATTTTTAATTCTTTACTCAATTCAAACATGTCACATGTGAGACTGTTTGATACAGGATGGGTTGGTCATCATCATCATCAATAAGTTCTTCATCACAATTCAGATGTAAAACCAACAAGGACAACCCAACTTTTGCCAATGTAACCTTTACAGTCGTAGAACAGTTTATGTTCAGTTGAGATAAATAAATATTCGAATTTGAATGGATCATATAATCTTGGCTGACTTAATTTTTTTTTACCAAAAAAATGTCAATGTTCTTAGTGAGACTTATTTTTTCTCATCCCCCTTTCCTTTCTTTTCTCTCAGGAGTTATGGAATGCAATGTAACCAAACCTACTGAAACCCAGCAGTGTGTCGGAGCACTTGGGGAGCCACTGATTTTTCACCTGCCAGTTAATGAAACTATAAAAACAACGCTGATAAAGGGTAGTAAATTATTAATCAATCTTAATGGCAGTACACAAAAAGATACGAAAGCAGAAAAAGGCAGATCAAAGAACCCATCCACAAAACTCGATAATGGAACATTGAGGATTAATCAGACAACAAAGAACGACGCTGGAGTTTATCAGCTTGAAGTACACTCATCTTCCAATGGCAAATTACTGCAGAAAACCAACATCAGCCTAAAAATACTAGGTAATTTCATGTCTTTTCTTTCAGAATGCTTCCATGCAAAGTTTAGAAAGTAGTATATTTTGGACATAGTTTATTTATCAAAGATTATTCTGCACTGCAGTAAAACCTAACGAATTCAGAAGTCCAGAAATGTATATGTTCTTCATAGTTATCTTTATTAAAAGAATCAGAGAATTACCAAAGAAAGTGAATATTGCTTTTAGGAGTCACAGCTAACGTGTAACTTTGTGTGTGTACTTCCAGCTGCAGTGACACAACCAGCTGTGTCTCACAGGTGTTTGTCAGCAGAACAGATGACCGTCAGCTGCTCAGCTGAGGGAGATGAAGTGGACTTCACTTTGTCTTTGGACAACAACATACTGATACACAGCACACCAGAGAGGACAGAAAGCCAAACCCTTACTGAGATAACCATCAGGCTACACGGTCAACTTGTAGGAAAGCTGGTGTGTGATGTTCAGAACAACGTCAGCAGGAAGCAGACAGACGTCCAGGTGACAGGCTGTGGAAGCAGAGCAGGTGGTACGTTTAGTCTGGTCTCAACTTTAATAGATGCCTTTGGTTTAAGTGTTATTTATGTTAGTGGAAAACAACTCAATAATTATTTGTCCGGCATAATCAATAAACACAATCAATAATTATATAGTATTTGAATAAATCATTTGTGATGATTGTTCTATTTTCTAGGTCCTGACTTGAATCTGGGTGTGACCACTGTGGCTGTGATATCAAGTGTCTCTGCTTTATTTCTCTTTGCTGTGCTCATCAGAAACAAATACTTAGAAAAAAATAATCAAAATGAAAATTCCATCACTGTGAGAAAAGGTAAGAGGCTGGTGTCTTTATGTGATGAAGCTAATCTCAATTATAAGCATATGTTTATGATCATGAAATTGTAACTCTTCCAGGTTTAAATCACTGCTTGATACAATAATTCCCGTATAAACCCTTTAAAATATATTCAAAGAGTTTTTGTTTACTTGTTTCAGATGATGATGAAGATGAAGTCGTGTACTCAGATGTCAGAGTGACCCGTGCTGCCCGTTAGCTGCTCTCAGCTTTGGATGGTTGTCGCTGACACGTTGGTGCCACCTGTTGTCCTGGTTTGGATTCTCAGCCAGTTGTTGGGCATTCTTTAACAATTTGGGGATTAATATTGTGCTAAAAGACTATTCATTATGTTGCCCAGGGAAAGCTTGGAGCCCATCCACCATTTTCCCAGTTGGGGGTCAACTTCTCTTCCTCCTGAAATGCATCTTTTAATACAATGAGATGTTTCCAAATGTAATTTAGTCATGATTAATAAAAAGATGTAGAAAATAAAACTGTGTACGCAGCGTACAGCACTTCAACATGAAGTCTTTACTTCTTAACCCCCCCGAAAAAAATATTGCATATTTTTCTCAGTTATTCAGTATTTTCCAATGGATATTTCTGTTTTTTTCACTGGATTAATACAAATATTCATGATTAAAAACCTGCAGGATTTTTTAAAATAATTATATCCATTAGGGTTTCTACTCAAAGTGTACATAATAATACAAATACCTTGATGTTAAAGATCACATAAACCATTTAGTTATGTTTCATTACTCTATTGTTGTGGCATCCACACATATTTCTTTGGTCTTATTACTCTACGAATGATAAAAGGGGGGGAAAAAACATACACAATTAAAAACTGTGGAAAGCAGTGCTTTGATTCACATTTGTCTGTGATCAACAACTGGTTCTGCGTGCTGACACCTTTTGTACAACATCTGGATTAATTTGGAATAGGTGCAAAAATTGTCATATTTTCAAATTTGCAGTGATAATGGATGACCACAGGGTGGAGACAGAGGCCATCTAAGGTAACCTCAATCCACCGTGACCGATTCTTGTTTTAACCATTTTTTTCTGGCAGCTGTACATAAAGAAAATGAAACTTTTACCTTTTACTAAACAGACACATTCACACATGCGATTGCATTAATCTGCTAACTTTCTTTTCATTAAATCAAGAAGATGAAACCAGATGCTGAAGTACAATTTTTAAAATGTTTTCTGTTGCCTGACATTGATTTAGCTTTTTGTTAGAGTTATAAATGTATCTATATTTAAGGGCAGGAACAGAAACTGGGTATTTGTTCTCAGAAATATGCAGAAAACTTTTATTATTGACAGCTGACCCCAAAGAGGTTCCTCAGACTGAGGCAAAAGGAGTTTCCGTGCAAGATCTCTTTGGTTAGTTTGCTTTGTTATTTCAGATAACACTGATTTTTTCCATCAGCGTTTAACACGAGAATCATAACTCACCACATTTGTTCCATTATGTTCCATTATTGTACATTTGACCCTATTGGAGCAACATGTCTGTCATTCTTTCAGCTCATGATTTGTCCGGGGAAACGGGCCGAGAGGGAGAGGGGGTTAAATGTGTGAAGACTGTGATCTCTAGACTGAGTTCCCTGGAACCAGTCCTCAGTCTCACATTATTAATCAGTCCACACGATCCACCGAGGGCAGACCACATCCCTCTCCTCCTCTGGAACGATCTCAGTCTGTCCAAGTTCGGCCAGACTCTGATCCTGTTGTTTTTTTTTTACATCATCCTTCCCAATGGCCTTCGTTTCTCTTTCCACGCACAAAAACAGTAGATCACATCATGTAACGGTGTTTTTACAAGCGTTTAACTCGTATGTTACGAAATAAATTCATAGTCCCTACCACATTCTTTCTCTCTCTCTCTCTCTCTCTCTCTGTCTCACATTTAGTTATTTATTACCAAATTATCAATAGCATGTCATTTTAAAGACAATTTAGATTTTTTTAAAAACATTATTGATTGTCTGAAGATTTTAGTTAGAATAACACACCCAAAAACATTAATTGTATTGCATATTGTTTTCCAAACATGAGAGATGAAACATTTTTTATGAACCATACCCTCCTTTTCTGATTTTTTTTCTTTGAACCATAAGATTCAAAAACATTCTGTGGTGTGGCAGTTGAAAAATAATCTCTCAGGATGCAAGTTTTTTGTGTTTGTTTGTATATTTTAATCACTATAAACTTTCCATAGACTGTCATGTTTTTTTTACTGGCCAGGTTATTGAGCAGACGTATATTTTTCTTTCACAAAATGCTGACTGCTCTTTTTACTGTAGCGAGATGTATTCTCTTCTCTGAATAAATAAGCCCTGTGTCACTAACCTTTCAGACAGGGAACAAGAAATACAGTTCACCATTTCATTTATGGCTAAGAATGAGTGCCGTCAACATAATTTCCTTCGTTTCATTCAAATAAATCCCTTTATATTAAAAAAATGTTCCAAAGTAAAAAAAGAAAAAAAAATGAAGAAAAATTGGATATCACGTAAAATAATGGAATAAGTTATTCTTTTTTTTATTCAATCGCATAAACATCCCATAAAGGTGGTAATTTAATCATTTTTGTAGCGTTCTCACACATAATGGAATCTTCAGTCAACCATCTTTCCACAGACGCTATGATACCGTATATGACTGGATTCACTCAAAGCCAAAATATTTGGAACTGACGTTTTCCTTAAGTCGAGTGGAAAAAACGCTCAGGAGTTGCCAGTTTTCTCCCCCTGCCACCCTCGTTCTTTCTGCCCGCTGTGTCTTTAACGGGGACTGATGCAGGAGGGGAGAAAAAAAAGGGCTTCCCTCTCTGTCTGACGTCTGTCTTGAAAACATGTGGCGGGGCAATAACCCGGTTACAACTGCCACAGTCCAATGAGTTGGCCTTGATTTAGAGAATGACTCCATTTACCTTTGTCTGACGGCCCTCTGCTTCCACAGCTGCGGCTTTGTCCCGCACCCAGACGCAGGATTTTACTGTACAAGATGGACGGATGAGAGAGTGGAACAGTGGAACAGCATCCCAGCATCAAGAGACTTACCCACATTCAACACTTACAGTCACAAAAGGTAGCGCTATTTTCTCGGATAACACTAAGCCAAGTGTCACAGTTCCACCACATAAATAGTTTAGTTTAAATGAAAGTAAAAGCAATTCATTTGGATCTTTCGTTTCAGATTTGGCCTAAAAAAGAGCTCTTTTAGCTCTTTTTCTTAGGCGTTTGAACTTGTCTGAGGATTGCTATTTCCTAGAATGTTGAATAATTATGTGTCTCTTTTTGACCTGTGTTCCTGACCTGTGTTTACTTGGCTTTATGCATTTTCTTTTCTCTTTTTCTGTCTTAGGTTTTTGTTTGCAGGTGCTCCAGAGGGTTGTTCGCCCGGGTTGCTCACAGGGGCCGTGTGATGTTCTCTGTTTCCCAAGAAAAAGCTGCTGGTTGAATGGTTTAGTGTTTTTTTGTTTTCTGTATCTTTCTATAAAGACAGCATATTTTTTGCTGTGCCTCTTTCCCTATCCCTTGTCAAATTTGACATTATCTGGTACATGTTACAAGCATTGTCACAAAAATGTATTTAAAAAAAAGGTAGTGTTGGATATTGGGCCTTTCGTCCACAAAGCTTCCCTTAAAGCAAACGTGTTCAGCACCATGAGACTGCCGTTTTCAGTTGTTCTATCAGGCTCGATGGTTGTACAGAGTCGTTAGCTCCTCTTATCACAGGCCTAACACCGCAAATCAGTGTTTTGTCTTCTCAGTTCGTGATTAGGACATGTTGTGTTAAAGTAAAAGCGTAAAACTGGCTGCTTAGATAGAGGTAAGGTAGTTTTAGCGATGAAATTCGATAGACTGGCTCGCCCAATCAGCTGGGATAGGCTGCAGCCCCCAACACACACAACCCTAACCCAGAATAAAACAGTATGGAGGTGGATGAATATATGAAGGTAGTGATAGTGGAAATGAAGGGCTACCGTATCCATATTTATTTCGTATAAGTACCAGAACATAAAACAAAGACAAACAGACAGAGATATGCACCACTGATGACGATAGTGCCTGCATCTTTTAACCTTCCCTCCAGGATATACAACAGGAATCAAGTCATCTGTTGGCGTCGTTGTAATTATTATATATTTTTTTGTTTGTTTTCCAAGCAACATTTTGCTGATTGGCCCAATACACTTTCATGACCCAAGAAGTCCACAAGGTGTGGCAAGACAAAACAGACGCCAAAGGCCTCATGCTGTTAGTGTCCTCCAACAATGGGTTCTTCATGAGCCAACGTTGTGGCAAAAAGTTTCCTCCGGCCATCCATCTGTCTAATCAGAGCCTCTTCCACTAATCAAAACAGACCCAGCCCCTCCGTATCGCATTCCTGTCCTCCTAATGAAACACAGTAGCCGTTAGTTCTTCCTGGACTTGAAATTGATTCAAAAAAGGTGCCAAGGTCAGTGCACATTGTTAAGAATGTGACCTTGTTCGTTTTTTTTTTTAAAGCTCTTGCCAGATTAGTCTTAAATCTCAGGGCCATGCAAACAATGGAGCCACTTATCTCCAAATAAAAACGCCTTAACAGCGAGCTAGGAAACTAAATGGCACGTACAACAAGGAGCCAGGTCAGTACTGGAGTTTATCTAACACAGAATAAATTCTTAAAAGAGAGCACTACATTTGCAAACCATTGATAATCAGTTCATTGGTTAACAGTAATATCAATTGTCACTTCCCTGACTGAATCGCAAGGGAATGATATTGACAAAAAAGCCTCAGTTGCAGTGTGGGACCGAGAATAAGCTGTGTCCACAAAAAACAAGGGGAACCACTTTGGTGCACGGGCAAAAAAACTTTTGGAAAGTATTGTGTGATTTTGGGTTTAGGAGCACTGAGCCAAGGAATGAATCCGTGTTCGGAGTGGTCTGAACGGTGGTGAGGAATGAGACGTTGTTGCTCGGACGATCCCACACGAGCTCAAAACCACATGCACGTGCCGAAATGTGTGCCCGTTACAACACTTTCTGATACGCGCTGTCACTCGGTCTCAGCCCTCCACGCCTAAACACACACACACACACTTTTGGTGCACAATCTATGGAAACCATGGAGAACCCCCATGCTGCTTATGTAACCGGCATGGACACACTCGTCCCGGATTTGACTTTATTTGAAAAGTAGAGGAGTAATGCCACAAGCATTAGCGGCTCACATGTGTTCCGAAACATCAACGTTTCTGTCCGTTTCTGCACGAGCTGTGGTCGAGCTGTTCTTTATTCTGGCCCAGCTAAGTGGATCAACTCAAGTCAAGAATAGAATTGGGGGGACTTGGGGGCGGTTAGCTAGTTATTTTCCTTGAAAGCCTTTTAATGCTTGATGGTGGGGATGCTGAAAGGGAGCGCAGGGAAACCGATTGAACTGAATTGCAGTGTTGAATTAAGTTTATTACTCAAAGCTTCTCAAAAGCTGCAAGTTATAAAAGCCGTTTTCATGCTAATTTTAGAGTGTTCACTTACTGGATATCAGTGCAGACCGAGGCTTTTGGTTTGACCTGCAGGGTCGCAACCCCGATTTGTGGGGAATTTGAAACATTTTTCCTACCCATTATGGGATTCAAGTGTTTGGTTTTGGCTCTGGAAAAGGAGTTTTTTTTTAAAATCATTGTTGAGGCAAAGCTTGGTTTGATGATTGGGGGTGAATATGTTATAGGCCAATTGCACTCCACTGCACCATAATGGGACCGATGTCTGTGGCTTTTGGTAAACAAAATATTCCCTGAGTTGGTATCGACTTTACGACTTCTCTGTTTGACAGTTACAAATAGAAACATCTGTAGCAAAACTGCCCACTTTTTGTCCTTATTACTTACAACGATGAACCCTCTTTAGAAAAACAATCTTTTTGGGGGATTTCAAAAAGTCATATCATAGTTTGGCCCTTTCCAAAGCTCTGTGTGTTTACTGAACTGTTACCATTAGGAATTCCTATCCTCAGGATATAATTACAGTATAATTGAATCTCAGAGCCTAACATATGGCTTATCCAATATCCAAAAACTGAAGCCACTTTAAAGCATTGCAGGTTCGTTCTACTTTGAGACGCATTTTACATTTACATTATCTCTCAGACAATCAAATTTACCTTTCCACCAGAGATCAAAGCAAAATAAAGTGATACGCAAGACCTTGCAAGGCCATGTTTTTATTACTGACTTGAGCAACACAAGATCAAAATCAACCAATGACCACTGTTTGCTGTTTACAGCTGTTTAACATCTGAGTTATGTTCTGTCTGTACCAAAACAATTTTTTAGTAGGAGCAGTTAGAGCCGAAATCAATTATTTGTTTACAGTGTCACCTTTCTCCCACCGCCCCATGATATCTATGATAACTAAAATTAGTGTCTCTAAATTGACCCTGTAGTGAGATGAAACGCGATTTCATGTCACTTTGTGGTCATGTTTGTGTGGTTACAGATCAAAAATGTCAAATACTGTCAAATACTTATCGTTAATACTTATCGTTATTATTATTATCATTACCACTTATTCCCTAATGGGGTCGCGAGGGAACTGGAGCCTATCCCAGTGGTCAACGGGCAAGAGGCAGGGTACACCCTGGACAGTCCGCCAGTCCATCTCAGGACCACACAGAGACACACAAGGACAAACAACCACTCACACTCACTCCTAACCACTCCCAATTTGGAATGTCCTGTCAACCTAACATGCAGGTTTTTGGACGGTGGGAGGAAGCTGGAGAACCTGGAGAGAATCCACTCAGACACAGGGAGAACATGCAGACTCCACACAGAAAGGTCCTGGGTCCTCCGGGGACTCAAACCCAGAACCGTCTTGCTTTGAGGCGATGGTACTGACCACCACACCACCGTGCTGCCCAGTATAGAAGATCAGTCCTGTTTAATCCCAACAGGGACAATGATGATAATGATGTGTAGGAACTGGCCTTAGAGGACCTGACAGATAGAGCAGGCATCTGCTAATACCTATGCTACGTATAAATTAAGTAAGTTTGCATGTATGAATCTGAACATTTGAATGTAATATCCTCGTCAATGATCTTTGGCATGAAACCCCGGCCAGAAAACTGGTCCCAGTCTGGCTTTCGGTCGGTATCTGTATTCTCTAAACGCTGATCATCAGCTCATTTTTCTGATCAACACTTTCTTTTTTACGCACCAAAATGAGTTCAAGAAAGGCTTAATGCGTGATTCTTCTTTTGGTAATGCGGGCCGTATTTTTCAAATAAATCATCCTTTGGAAGGAGTATGACCTGAAAAGAAAAGACAGGAATACAGTGAGAGTTTCTGTTCCTTTCTTTCAGGCCATCAATCAGCAACAGAGTCGGTGAGCATCTGGACCACAGACGCTGCTGCTCTGATACTTTTAGCTTCACTGCCAAGCGTAACTAAAAGGGGATATCTGCATTTCTAAAATGGCCAGACTTTGATTCGGGTGTAAATCTCGTGAAGTCATAATCTGGGACATTTGCGGATTCCCATAAAAATAAAAAAAAAGAAATCCTGAAACATCTTTTTTGTCTGTTGGGCTGTCATTGTGTCACAGTGAGACTATTCATACTCAGGTTTTCCACAGAATAGAGTCATATAAAGTTAGGAATGGCTGTGTTGGTGTTAGCGTTTATAAAAAGCGGTCTTCACAAATAGCATGTGACACTAATTGAGTTATATTCTATTAAGTCATTTTTCCAGCTCAGCACCGGGCTTGTGAAGCAACAGGTAATGTATCCTGAAACTTAACCACTAATGCCACCAAATCCTACACCGTAGGGGAAATACACTTACGCTGAATGCAACATAATTACTCTTGAGCTTATGTTTCTTTTACCACTTGTTTGTGCTTTCTCATCTCTTTCCCAATTTTCCCATATCTGGACAGGTTTTGAGAAGTCTGCCGGCACAGAAATGACCCCAAAAAAAATGTTCAAGTGCCGTTTTTCCTCGAAGATATTTTTCTTGGTTGTGTGGGACAACCCTTGAAATAACATTCAGATGAGGTAACATTAAACCTCGGCCCTGAAACTAATCAATATTAATGAAATTCTTTTGAGTGAGCGGCTGCCAGATCCTCGGGGCAGAGCCCACAATGGCAACTCCGCGATGGTTCGCTGCAACTATGACTGGTTCTCCGAAATAGACTAATTGTTTCTTCTTTTTTTTTCTTGTTCCCACAACACCATAACACAATGAGGAAGTACATTAATGTTCATTTGCTCCTCGTCTTGGTCTCTGACAAGCGGTATGACACAATCCGAGCCTTGTGGTGCCGTAAAGCCTCACATTTCAGTCCGTGTAAGTTAATGAGGTTTCACAGCTGGTTAAATGAAATGGGCTGAATAGGAAAAGCGCGGTCTAATCTCCGCTGCTGGACGCACATAAATCCATTTAGAAGTAGCCGGTTTGAGTCATGAGTTTAACTGTTAGAGATGAGCTCATGGTCATCTCTAAAAGGCCGCGCATCTCTGGTTGTGTCAATGACGATCACAAAAATCCTAATTACACAGTCCCTGACTTTAACATAAAGAAGGTTTTTCTGTAAAATCAGTGAGTGGGAGTTAACGGCCTTTAAGTTTTCCGTCTACTTGTAAAGAGTTGTACATGCTGTAGGTCGTAAAACAGAATTTAGAGTTAAATGTCGATACCATTTTTTTTGTTCTTCTCATCCATGCGTTATGAACACAAAGCCACAAAGCTCATGGTGTGAATCTTGTGCGACCACAGAACACTGACCATGACGCGAATAATGCACATTTTAATTTTTTTTTTACAATCAAAGTTGAGCCTTATCTATCACACAAACAAATAGAAACAGTGGAGCCCTACGATAATTACAGGAGCATCCAAGAGTGAGTCCAATGCTGTCTCCATCTAGGGCCATAACAGACTTCATCTGCATTGCATCTGCTCTGCAGCTATGTATAGGAAGGGTGAAGATGGCTGTTTGATGAAGGAGGCTGTTTTTTAAAGAAAAAAGGCTGCACAAGTTGGATGATAGAGAGAACAACACTCGTTTTCTTCTTCCAAACCTCATGTTGAAACAATAACGCGCATTCACTTTGAGGCTGCCACAGCACTGATACAATACACAGTTCCTTCCAGCAACAATTACTGATTATAAAGAAAGCTTGTAATGATTACTTTAAACTCGCTGCAATGATATGATTTCGTTTTAGGATAAATAAAATAGCTAATCATTTAGTTTTTTGTTTTTTTTACAAATAAGCCAGAATTTCTGACTGAAACCCTCTATGTCATATAAATGTATTCCTGTGAGTTGGACGCTACAGGACCTGCTTTTGAAAATGAAACAAAACAACGATCACCAATCACAGAGATTGAATGCTTATTTTAGAAGTAAATAGGATAGAAAGTTCAACAAAGAAAGTAATGAGAAATAATGAGCAAGTAATGAGAACAAACAAAAGTACTGGAATAAATGTTAGCTTTCTGCCTGTGCTGTAAAGGTGGAGGCGTTGAATTCAGTTTAAAGTCGAAGAGAATGTGAAATCCCTGATGAGTTGTTCAAACTAGCACCATCAATCAAGATAATATCAAGTTTAATGAAGCCAATCCTGCTCTGAAATTATAAGTGATCTTATCAGAAATTCATTTTTCTACTGTTTTTGCTTCATTTGTTTCATATAAATTGCTCTGACTTGATGGTTTTGGCTGCACAGTCACATTCTGATCAAAAGAATATTATCATTTTTTTACATTTTTGTTTATTTTACTGTGGGAAACAGCCATTGTCTGGAACAATAATTTTCCAGACAAGATTTATTTGGAGTCTGTCACGCAGCTTGCTCAAATTGTAGAGATGTGTGTTCAGTTCGAGCAAATAACAACAAAAAAAAAAAAGCTTTGAAAGAGCGCTTGTCTGTTCTAACCTCATGACCTTTATGTTTCTGCATATATTTTCATATTTAAGGTGATGGTTATTGAACTGATCTAAATGCAGAGCACATAGACGTCTGAGTAAAATTTACTAATGGGCAGAATGCAATTGGAAAACCCAGCCTTGCAATAAAACTCCATTAAACAGGGCGGATCCACCTCTCTCTGTGCTTTGTTTGTTTCCTGAAGTCTCCCTGTCCTATATTTAAGCCTCAGGCGATTGCACCTTCAGTCCGCCCATTTTAAGACGTCCAGATTGAGCCGTTTAGCTAAATAAAGGCCTTTTTTTTTACAGGATGAAAGCGGATAACGAGGATAAAAGATTTAACAGGGAGAGCAAAAGATTTTTTTTCTTTTAAGTGTGAGAGCTGGCACTTGTATTCGAAAGGTCTGTGAAAGAGGGCCAACTGCTTTGGAACTTTTCATATTGCTGCCATGGTTTCTGCCAAAGCATGTAACTGCTTCATGGAAGGGTGTTGTTGGGAAAAGAGAAAAGGTATGCAAGGGAGATGAATGTGTGACCATTAAGACACAAAGAAGGAGTGAAAAAAAAGGAGAATGAAATAAAGAATGAAAGAGAGGCAACGGGGATAGAAGGATGCAGAATAAAGGCCAAGACAAAGTTTATAACCAAGAAAAGCATTCACTGCACAGTACTTGCCGTTCAGTGATCCGCAGCTTTTGATAAATAAGATATCAAGAGAATTTTGAAAACCTTGTAGCAGGTTGATGCTGACAAGAAGGAGTGTGGTTTTTATTGTAGTCCGATTTTCTATTGGATCATACAGGTTTCAGAAGAAAATACATCAGGAATATATTTTGTCTGACAAGACAAACAAATACCAGAAAGACAAAAAAAACTTTAGAAACTGAATTTTCAATAGATTAAGATGTCCATATGAATGAAGGATTATTCTTTGGATGGTGCAAATTTCACTTCACTTTGAGCCCTTTCGCCTCATCCCGTGCCAGGACCGCAGACATACCTCTAAAACATGAGCCATGTGTACGATTTTTAAAATTCTTTTTCATCTAAACAGCCTTGAGAGGGTAGAGATGTGTTGCACATGTCTGAATTCCAATAGATATCGTAATGGGGTCCACCTTAAAAAGTTGATGGGGGTCACTAGTACGCTCTAGTGTAAACATAAGATAAAACCCATATTATGCATATATTCCCAACATCTTTCACAAGACCATCACGGATAAATATTGATTGCAAACGTAAATAAATCCTCTTGGAGACGTGCGCTGTAAATCTCAGCTATTTCAGCTCACTTGCGTCATCGGGTGCATCTTCAGCGATGCGCTCCAAAGACGTGTCGTCAGCACCGTTTCCGAGAACATTATCTTATTTTACGGCGTAATGGATTTGCCCCTTCTGTTTTTGTCTTGACGTTCAGAATTTAGTATAAACAGCTTCGGGCTTTTGGGGGTGGGGTGGGGGACAGGGTCAGAGCATGCCTCTATAAAAACAAAGATGGACACCAACAGGATTGTTTTTTTTTT